CTGAGTGGATGTAGAAAGATAAATAGAAGGATGGCCTTAAGTGTCAGGCGGATCAGCACCCGAACCACTCTCGGTCTGCGGTGTAAAGGATCAACCTTAACACTCCGCAAGGTTATATTGAAAATATATGAAATCCCTGCTATTTTTACGGAGCCCCTTAAACCATCTGAACCCAACTACCATGATATACAACCACACTTGAACAGTTTTTAACACCATTACTAGTTACGTACATCCTACATCTATCGTAGCCACAGCAATGCAGTTAAGTACTTTTTTTTTGTATTGTTATTGATAAGCTAAACTGCAATCGAGAACAATTTATAAAATAATGAGATTACGCAAGCCTATGAAATGTTCATATGAAATAACGCGCAATAGCATAGAACGAAGAGCTTCTTATCGACCCAATAATGATGGGCCTGAATTGAACCGACAATTTCCACAAAATGTTCTTTAATCTATTCAAAATGTATTTATCTAAAGCCGAGTCTATTCACATTGCTTAGAACCCAAAAACCGGAAACGATGGAATGGAGGACAGGCACCCGCTTCCTGAAAACTGACCACCTGTGGATCGTCGGCTTAACAGAAACACAAAACTCTTAGTGCCTCGTTATTATTTATCTAATAGGCACATATCCTTCTCGTATTGTAATTCAACAAACCCTCCCTCAACGTACAATTGAGGAGGGCCAAGATATCAATGGATGACATATTAACATATAACTAAGGTAGAGAAAATAAGATAAAAGATCAACAAAAAAAATACCATACTAAAACTTTTCCATAAACATTTAGAGTATGTGTCACATTGAAGGGAAAATTATGAGAAAAACTCTAGTAAGGAGTTATTAGCTATCATATTTTACGTTAATTATAGCCTAAGCGAACCATAAGATTCGATACCGAAATCAACAACCATTGCCTATATTACTCATATCACCAACCCCGATCATAAAATAATTCTTTCACCTACGCCAAGAGCAGTTCCCCGCATCCCTAGACAGAGTTCCGTTCCAAGCCATAAACAGGTGTGTACGAGGTGTGTGTTTAGTTCATTTTCTATGCGTGTAATTTAATATGATGGTTCCTGATAATATTTTACATTTAAATTTTTAAAAACCTATTTGTTTATTTATTTTCCACCTTCCCTTGCCTATTAGGTAGTGGAGATGTTTCCAATAGTGGAATGATATACATGACTGCACAATACCACAATACAGCAAGTTATTTTTAATGAGTAATACATCCTGTCACACGGACAATGGTTATATTGAGGTAAGACTACATTCAAACTATATATACAGAAGTAAAATAACAACCAAATAATAATCAAAAAGCATATATAATAATGAATAAAGATAAAATAATACAAACATAAGTAAATTTTAAACAAACATACTTATACAGGGTGATTCAGGAACTCAAAACAAGAAAAAAAAATCCTCTGAAGGCACTAGTGGATCCAGGATTTAATTTTTTGGGAGGGGGTGTTTCAGTTCGAAAGCTTTTTTTTTCATATGTATAATGATAAATAATTTGAAAAAGAAAGATACTAACTACCTATATGGCATGGTGTTTAAGAGCATCTTGTAGTCCTATTAAATGTAATTTCACGAACAATAATGTTTTAAGAGGTAGTTTTTAATATTTTTTTCTTGAAAAGCCCCCCTCCCTAAATCTGCCTGTATCTGAAGGTATGTCCACGAACGCTTTGTTCATGAGATATTCATACCTAAAGATTTTCGTTGTTATGAATTATTTACGTTATATGAAATAAATAAAACCTATTTATTTGTTCCAATTTCAATTTAGTAAACTTAACAAAGGAAAATCACAGTTTAATAACTAATATTCCTACAATTCATAATCATTTATAGGTTAAATATTCAGATATACTTTCGGATCTCTCTAGGTATATATGAGCCTTTCGTTTGACAGGATGACTAATTCCAATTTCAACATTCTTTATTATTAATTTTAGTGGTTTCTAGTGGGAAAAAAGTATACCTTTATTCACAGTTCTATATTTCAACACTGCAATCACCTACTCTGGAATCAACTTACTCACTGTCTTTATAGATATAACTTCTCCAACTAGAAATATCGATAAAATGACATTAATCAAAAATGTAGAAATTGGAGTTAGTCATTCTGTCAACTGGCTCAGAGACTGAAATTGTGTAAATAAAAGCAGACGGAGTAACTAGATTTTTATTGCCTACAGTTGATATAAGAAATAGACTTTTTGTAATTTTAATGGTCTTAATGGTTTCTTATCTATAACCTTTAAGCTCTAGCTCCGTTTAAAATGCACTTCAAAATTTTTATAACAGCTATGCATTGTCAGAAAATAATTTCTATTCAAAGTAGAGCCGTAAGTGAAAGTTGTGTGTTACCCGCACCAGATATTTTTCATAAGAAATAGTTATATTTTATCATCTTGGGGGAAGGGAGCTTCAGCCCAAGATTGAAGGATACTATTTTAGGTCTGAGTTGGATGATAAGATGGGGTTGTCATCAGGAAATGTTACCAGGAAGGTATTAGGATGGACAGGGATATCAGTGGTTAAGATAATATAAAGGATGGGACCCAAAATGCTACCTTGAGAAACACCGACCTCAACTGGATAGCAATGGAAAATTTCTGTGTCGCAGCAATAGTGTGGTGAGATAAGTAGCGGAGGACTATGTATAAAGACTGGAGTAGAAATATTTTAAACTGTTAAACCACTGTTGTCTTTTATCTTTCGAATGCAGTGTAGGTCATGACAATGGTGAATTATATGTCCTCGGATTATATGTCCATGGCCTATGCCTTTTTTTTATGGAAGGTATAAAAAAACATTCATAACCTTACTAAAAAGATTATTCTTATTTGATTCTCTCTTCTCCTCACCCATCATGGTAAGATATAGTTTAATCAAATCTGATTTGCCAAAAAAGTTTAATGTTGCACTAAAATTATTTTTGAACCATTAGATGAGTTAAATCTGTTCTTATTCCTAAATTAAACTGCTTAAAATGTGATAGGAGCTGTACAGTTTTCTTAATATTGAATAGTCTTATATGAAATTTCAACTTTTTGTTATTTGCATTAAAAAAAAACATGAGTGCATACAATTTAATATTATCTTATATAAATAATGTAATAGTGAATAATTGTTCGGCTACTCTTTATATTTGCTGATTTTAATTTTTATACTCTTGATTCCATTTGTGGTTCCACATAATTTTTCATATTCTTTTTGTTACTAAATATTACTGCGTAACATTGCCTGTTGTTCTTTATAACATTATTTCTTATGATTTAAACAAAGCACCTCAGTTATACTTAGCCATGTTATTTTTTTGCATGGTTCTTATTTATTTAATGTTTTATTTGTAATAATTATTTTATTTATTTATTTCTATTTTTTTTTTATTGTTTATAAAACAAAATATAGTTCTTGGTTTACTTTTATAATTATATTACCGTCCTCTCATTAACTGTATTTCCTGATTATTTGTCATTTCATAATTTTAACAGTTGTTGTTTGTATCGATTTCTAGGCACAAAACATCCAGGTCGTCAGCGCCCGATCAACTAAATAACACTACTTTTAAACTATTTAGATGGTTGGTCCAAAAAATAAGAATAAAAATAATTAAATAAAAGGATTGATAGAATGAAATAAATAAATAAAAATAACATAATTAAATAAATAACTAAATAAATGAATAAATAAATAACTAATTATAACTAATACCTAAATAACAAAATAACATAATTAAATAAAAGGATTGATAAATAAATAAAAATAACAATAGACACTTATAGATAATAAGATAGAATAGATAAATAAATAAACTTTTAAAAAATAGAAATAAAATCAATAAATGAGTTGAATTTAATAACCAAATGAACTTTTAACATAAAACAATAAAATGAAATAAAGTATATAAATAAATTTAAAAAAAAATAACAAAAAAAAATAAAATAAATCTGCAAAGGGTCATAATTTATAAATTTGTCATATATGTTGTTTAAGTCTTTCATTATCTAGGAACTTGGTAACTTTGGTAATGACTTCTTCTTGATTTCCCAGGGATGATGATATATTCTGGGGTATTCCAAGATCTTTTAACCTTGTGGTGTAATAAGAGCTTTTTTTCAAAACATGTTTTATGGTTAATGACTGGTCACACTTTTGACATCTGGGGATAAGATCTTTTGTTATGAGGTGGAGATGTGTCAGTCTAGTATGTCCGATCCTCAGCTGCATTAGGACGATCTCTTCTTTACGACTGCTGCATCTGAAGCTGATCCACGGTTGCACTTCTTCCTTTATTGTCTTCAATTAGCTAGGTGTGCTGTTGACACATCGTCTTTGCCATTCTTGGGATATGGTTTCTCTTAGAGGTTGTGCGGGTTCAGATGGTGTCAAAAAAGCTTTACCACAGCCTGGAAGAGTAAGAGCTGGCCCGGAAGAGAGAGAGGCCTCGAAGAGCAGAGTAAGAGAATTTTAACAGTTATCTAGCTTATATCTCCATCTCTAAAATTTATTTATCAATTTAGCGGCAGGATGAATCTCGATCTTCCCAATCTAATAAGAATAGATTTAGTTGTACCCCTAGAAGCTCTTCTAGCTCCCTCCTCTCCATATACCAGGTAAAAGGTAAACGGGGGTAAAATAAAATAAAATAAAAATTATTTATGATTTCATAGTGTCTCTAACCTTAAAATAAATTGAAAATAACTACAAAAAAAAGTGTGCTAATAAAAAGCCCACACAATCTAATCGACTAATTATGTAAAATTGTTTATACAAAACATTCTCTACAAAATATATTAATATGACATTAAAAACAAAAGTATGACATCCACAAGTACTCCAGGATAAATCCTGAAGGTACAAAAGGGTTGGTACCAGACATCATAGATTTTTATAACAGGATGTAAGAGGTATAAAGGATAATTCGAAATTGACCTAATGAATGAATTTGAATTCTTACAGATGGCCTCATCTAACGATGTCATCAGGAAATGTTACCAGAAAGGTATTAGGATGGACAGGGATATCAATGGTTAAGATAATATAAAGGATGGGACCCAAAATGCTACCTTGAGAAACACTCCTGAGTATTGATCAACACTGGGAGACATTAGATTCAGGGTTAAAAGAACCAGATCAGGAAGCAAGATGTATTCAGAAGAAACAAAAAAACAAAAATGGTTCACAAAAAAGGAAAAAAAAAAAAAGCCTGCTTAACCAGAACTGATCAAGCAGCTCTGGACAAATAACAACCTCCCAACATTAGGAAAAAAAGATTAGGATATAAAGCAAATAATGTGCGAATCAGATGAAAATATGGGAAACTGATGGCATCAAAAGAAAAGACACTCAGCGTTTGGAAAGAACATTTCCATCAGCTTCTCAATCAATCTTATTTCTTAATTAGGTAAGACTGATTGAGGTAAGACATAGATAGTATTGTTTTGGGGAAAAGGAGGCCAAATATAGAGAGCAATAAATAATAATAAGATCTATTAATGTGTCTAAAAACTATGTATGGCCTGTTGGAAGTGATGAAGTTGAAGGAAGGTGTTTATGCAATGTTTTTTTTTAGTATAACTATATAAAAAAGGAGGATTCAAAGTTTGGAGAAGTAGCTTTAAGGAATCAAAACAAATAGCAGGGATACAATTCTCCAATCTCTACATCAATCTTCAGCAAAATTGTGTTAGATTATTCAATATAAAATTAAAATAGTTATACGGGTAGAAAGAAGTTAATTCAAATAACTCGTACATTAAAATTTGATAGTTAATTATTAGAAGGCAGCTTAGCTAGGACCGAAAGCTATGGCTGCACTGGATTGAGGCTTCTTGAATCTAGGAATGGCATCAAGAGGTATCCATACAGAGAAAGAATATAATATTTGTTTTTCTTTTCAGGTGTGGAAATATTTCTCACATTAGAAAAAATATAAAATTATCAAGGTTATCTGCAAATAAAGTTAAAATTTATTATAACATATAAGACAAGAGAGTTAAAAACAAAATAAGTATGCCTTCAGACCAATTATTAAGTATACAAACTAAAACATTCTTTAAGAGATGAATTAATCAAAATTATCGATATGCTTTATTAATTGTTTTATGAAGGAAGACTAATCAAAATGAGGCAATCAAACACAAAATTACAGCAATAAATGTCATTGTGGTTGGCATATAAATTGTTAATAAAGCTGTTTTAAGCGCTAAATTTACCAGAACAGATTTAAAAAAATAATTGACTAATTTACATAATGGTTGATTAATAATTTGCAATAAATTGGTCTATTATTTCACAGCTCAGGAAATATTATGGTCATCATTATGCCTTAGAAAAGGTTATTGCTAGTTTTACATAATAGATGTCTTAAAAAAAAAAAAAATTATTTGTTTGTGCTAACCATAGTGGAATATGTAAACAATGGTCAACTAAAAAGAAAAAAAAATCAATTAGGAAAACCAAGTTAAAAGAGAATTATGCTTTAAGTATGTTTTTGATGAATCATTTATAGTATATGTATGAATTTGTAAGTATTTGGTAAATAATATAGGATTGAAGAAAAAAATTTTAGTTTTAACTTAGTGCTGGATGAATACACAATCAGACTACCTACTAATTGTGGTCAAGCTGTAGTATTTCCTTCAACAAACTAAAATTGTTTTATAAATTACTTTTTATAAAATATTTATATTAATTTTGAATAACTCCTCAATCAAATGAAAAAAATACAAACCAACTAATGTTTTCTTTTCCTTATCCATTGTCTTTATTTCACAGGTATGACTGTTCAGTTTCTGTAAACATTTCTTTATTGGCCTTTCTTAATGTGTTAGTAATCTGATCCCAGGTTTTCTCTTATTTCTCTACAAACTTTTCACTTCTTGAAAGCTTTTTTACAAATTCTAACCTGGTCCATCTCAGATAGAAGTATTTATTTAGGTTATTGTGGAGCTAAGGTATTTACATAAGTCTAATCTCAGGAGCAATTTTCTATTTAGGCAGATCCTATTGTTGGCATGGATCTTTTTTTTTTTTTTTTGTTTACTACCATATACCATAAATCAGGATAACTTTGGGAGACTAAGAGATGACTATATACTTGAGTTTATTTACGGGACAGGCTAAACCATTTTTGTATTTAGATAAATTTCCTAGAATATTGATATAACAATGATTGGAAGGTGGGGAGTGCCCCCCCCCCTGTGTAGTCCCAGAAATAGCAATACATGTTTTAATATCCTGTGATGACATGGAAGAACACCGTGCAAGGTTGTTGAGAAAAACAGGTCTTTTCGCCCTCACTGAAACAGACTTTCCCATCTTGGAATGGAAGAGGCGCTATTCCTTCTTCCTAGTTTGTCTATGGGTGGACAACCGTGCACCGGGCCACACCACAGTTGAACCTAATACACTAAGTATTTTATTCGCAGTAGTGGGCCACATGCCCAACGTACTAACCCCTGCTGCCAAAACACTGTGTGCCAGAAATGGCGGGTAGAGTAATTAAAAAAAAAAAAAAAAATGGTGGTGGTGGTGGGGTGGACTAGTGGGCTAACAGGTGTGCACATTACTCAGCAACCTGATAAAAGATAAGTTGATAAAATAATTATGAGTTTGCGTCCCAATGCCGGAGGGGGCTTTTAATTCTGGCATTATTCCCCTGCCTTACACCCTGGCCCAGAAAAACCCAAAAAAAGGATAGCACAGAAAAAAATGTTCAGTTAACTAGGTGATCTAAAATTCAAAATAAACTCTTGTACATAGTCACCTCTTAGTCCCAAAGTAACCCCCCCTCCCTCCCCTCCCCCACCATGGAAGGTATTTTGTTTTATTTTCATTTAATTGAAGTTCATTTTGCTCTGCTTCTTTTGCCAGAGTCTTACAAATATGCCCTCTTAATAGCCCAAGCTTGATTATATTAAATATCCTTGGATCTAATGCACTTTGACGTATAGACTTCATGATGCTCAAATAACTTTTTTCAGTGTCTAGTTGAAAAACGTTAGCAAGAGTTCATCTCCTGGCCTTAAAAGTGTTCTTTATGTATTCTTTATTTCCAGATGGGCTTGGTGACTCATACATGGGTATTTTAACAAGTAAATGTTTAACAGAAACCGGTCTAAACTTCAAAGTCTTCAGATATGATTGATCACCTATTATATGTCCATGATGCTTTAGCAGTTTATTGGAAATTATCTTGTAGATAACCAGCAGTGAAAATTCCTCTGCAATCCTCACATTCATACATGTAACCTTCATTAGAAAAAATTGGGCCAATGTTTTTGGCCGCTGATTTCCTTTCCTCATCCCATACTTTCATTAACTATAATTACTTATTTTTTCTGGATGGAGGTCTTCAGCATAGTCCATATCTTCTTTGTTCGAGGGTTTTCCTTGATTTAGAAGCTGCTGTATATGTTCTTTCTAGATGCTTAGAATATTTTTTCATTTGATGGTGTCAGTTTGCCATCTTCACATTTGTTTGTTGAATAATGATAACAAAATATTTTTTTTTAATGTACACAGTTTTTTTATTGTAAACAAATATTTGTTTTAATGTAACGATCTCTTAAGGTAAGTGTATAATATTTAAGATAATTCAACATATTTTGAGGCACTCAAACTAGAAGAGGTAAAAATATGTTTTTAGCAAAGTAGAATTAATATTGCATATTTTGTAGAGCACAAAATATGTTGTCTTAATAACTTTATCAGTAACTTAGCAGCAACATCTTAATTTTCAACAAACAACTGTATAGAAAGATTTATTTTTCTCCAAATGATATGTTACAAGTTTGGAATCAAAATCCTAGTAAATACTAACAAGAAGTCATAATGAATAAAAGAAAACACTCAATTTACGCAGAATTGTTAACTGAATCAAACATTATTAATAAATATAAATGAAGAACTTTAAAATATTCCTGAAAAAATCATTGAAAATTTTAGTGGGTCAATACATTATAATAAACTCAAGATCAAGAATTAAACATTATTCAAATTAAAGTTTTTTATAAAAAAAAATCCAGTATGTAAATTAAGCTTGTTTTTCTCTTTTAATCTCTAAAAGGAATTTCTAAACAAAAACAATTGAGGAGCAACGGAATGACTTTAATTTATTTTATGACTTAACATTTCATTTTATGGGAAATAGTTATTTTGTTTCCGGTTGGAATGATATCAGTCACATTAAAAAAATAACAAGAAAATGTCATGTTATAGAGAAAATTAGTTTTAGTCATATTGTATCTGCAAAAAAAATATTTGACATCTCTACTGTGATTTTTAAAAGAACATTTAAAATTCTAAGGGAATGTAGTTCTATTTCCTGAAAGAAGAACCTTCATGAAGTAAAACAACCTTTTGAAAAACTGATCAAATCCTTTATTCTGATTTGTTTACCTTTGACTGACAATAGAAAGAATTTTACTTTTTCACCAATGTGTTGATCAATCACTCCAGACCAAATTATATGCAACAATTTTTGTATTTTATTTTTTCATGACCTATTTTTTCTATGATTACACCAATAACCTATAACAGGAGTCTATAAACTATTGCCCATGAAAGTTTCTGTGATTAAATGATAAAACTTTTAAAAAATATGAAATTTAGCAAATTACACACATAATAGGTTACTAGAATATTTATTGCATCGGTTTTTCTCTTAGAAAGCTCATTTCATAACAGAAGTGTCTTTTAGAGAACAAGATTTTGTTTCATCAAGAGTTATGGCCCGTATGACTTAGGTCTCAATGCGGCCTACAGACTTAGTGGATGTCTTAATACGGTCCATGGGCGTTTAAAATAAATTAATTTATGTTTATTCAAATTATCTATGTTAATACTTTTTGGTGACTTTTAAGAGTCCAAGAATTATATTTCTTAGACTCTTCAAATTATAGTGATTAAATTGTACAAATTTCACAAGTATTATAAATCTATTTTAAACTAATTTATAATATACTGATCAATTTACTTTCTGAATTGCTTGTACATCTTGTAAAACTGCTAACAAAAGGTATAAGTAATTTATGTAATGAAGGAGGTTAAAAATTCATAAAGTTTTAAGCTATTATTGAAATAAAAAAAAAGTATCAATTTGAGAAATTAATGAAGAAATGAGGGATGAATTTCATTAGTGCACCTTTGATAATTTGATGAAGCAGTTGTCTACACAACTACAGTAGCGCTGTAAATAATTTGTCTCAACTTTTTTGTCTTAAATGATTCTTAAAAATAAGTTAAATAAATAACACTATAATGTTTTGACTATTAATATTTATGATTGTGGGTTTATAGTTGACTTTAGTGAATAATTGAAGAGAAGGATGGTCGTGGTGATCAGTCAAATTAAAATGCCAAAAAATAAATAATTTTATTTATTTTTACTTTAAAAAAAGATACTAATATCACAATATCGTGTGATAATACTAACATCACAAAATGGTCCATTTATAGGAATTTTCATCAAATAATAATTCTTTTTAGATGTCCTGGAACAACATAAAACAAAGTAGGCCAGAAATTATAATTTCATAAATTAGTTAGTAACTGATTTGGTTGTACTCAAGTAATTGAGCGAATTAATTTTAAATTCCTAGTCACATTGCAAGAAAAAATCAGTAAACCAACTGTTTACTGTTGTAGGATTTATAGGTTTTTATCTTATTCACTATTAATTATACTATATTCAGAAATGTTATATGATTGTTACATCACATACTATTACTTATATTTAATTATGTTGTATAACAGTTTTTGTATGATATGGTTTGTGACAATATGCTTGTTTCTTGATATCCTTGAAGTTCATGCCTTTTCTTGTTCCAATTAGTAGTTTTTGTAATTACTAGTCTTCTTTTAATTTATATGTAGCTTTTATATGGAAATTAACCTATAGACCTGAGTTTGAATAAAATAGTGTGGAATTTACAACAAAACAACATCCGTGATTAAAAATAAGCATTTTACTGTCTTCCATTTGGTGACACTTCATAAAAATTTTGCATTAGAGGATGTTTTGAGGCAACTAGTATTACCAAAGTAAAACAAACGACTTTAGAATATAAATAAAATTATAATAAATATGTTAAAGTCAAACATTGTTTGAATTGGTTAAATGAAATCTTATTCTCAAGGCAATTATAAAAATAGCTATTAACAAAAGAATTATTTTACACTAAGTCCAACTATTGATGATAACAGAAAAATAGTTTAGAATAAAACTGTAATAATTCTGGAACAACTGAATATAACAACAGTGATATCAATGAAGTGTTTATTTAAATGAGACTATACTTTAGAAACATTCCAAATATAACAAAGTTTCATTATTTTTTAATTGAAATTAAGGATAGCATTAACGTTTAACTACCCTTCTTTCTCTACTTGGAATACTAAGAGGGGTTAAACCAAGTAAAGAAACAACTGATAAACTCATGTAAACAGTAATGGCATCCGAATAATAAAACTATTTTAACTAAAAGTTTTAAGAACTAATTTAAATATAAAGATGAGAAACGGTATTATTAAATAGTAATGTGACATTCGCAGTATCAATCTGATAACATTATTTACATCGTTCATCAGACCATGAGCCCTTCATCATATTCAGAAAGAACTAACAATGTTATCAGTTAGAAATAGTTATAACACAATTTATAGTTAATTAATTGGCTAAAATTAAATCTAATTGAAGAATATTTATTAAGAATTAAATCAATACTAACTATAATAGTTAAAAGTTTAAAAGAAAAAAATAAACAACTTATGACAGAAGGCTGTGTATGTTTACGGTTTGGTTATAAAATTTCAAGATGGCAGAAGTTAGGCATTTAAGCTTTGTTAGTTTCGTTTATTGTATACTGATCTATTATTGTAAGATTATATTAAAGTCAGTGTGTTAATAATTGTCTGTGAGTTTGTCAATTAATTTAACGAAGATTTCTTCTAGTGTTTCGTGAGAAATAACTTACATTTAAGCATAAGCATTTTTTTTCAACCCTCAGGTCTGTATGTAAATAAGATGTGTGACGAAAGTAACCCTACAACGTTGTACGTCGGGAATTTAGATCACTCGGTTTCAGAAGAACTATTGTGCACGTTATTTTCACAAATTGGTCAAATTAACGGATGCAAAGTAATTCGCGAACCGGGGAACGACCCGTACGCGTTCATCGACTTCGCCACACATCAAGGCGCGGCAACCGCATTGGTAGCCATGAATAAACGTCTTTTTTTAGACAAAGAAATGAAAGTTAATTGGGCCACCTCCTCTGGTAATCAACCCAAATTGGATACCAGTAACCATTACCATATATTTGTGGGTGATCTGAGCCCTGAAATAGAAACTCAGACTTTGAGAGAAGCTTTTGCTCCGTTCGGTGAAATTTCCAATTGTAGGATTGTAAGAGACCCCCAGACGCTCAAATCGAAAGGTTATGCATTCATTTCATTCGTGAAGAAGGCTGAAGCAGAAAATGCCATAATAGCCATGAATGGGCAGTGGCTTGGTAGCAGAAGCATCAGGACCAACTGGTCGACCAGGAAGCCTCCCCCACCACGTGACAGCAGAAACACAGAAACCAAAGCGCCTACATTCGACGAGGTATACAACCAGTCCAGCCCTACGAATTGTACTGTTTATTGCGGTGGTTTTATTAATGGGATCGATGATGATTTAATGCACAGAGTATTTTCCCCCTTTGGAACAATTCAAGATATAAGATGCTTTAAGGACAAAGGTTACGCCTTCATCAAATTCACCACCAAAGAATCGGCTGCTCACGCCATTGAAGGTATTCACAATACAGAAATAAATGGGCATATTGTGAAGTGCTTCTGGGGTAAGGAAAATGTGGATACAGGTTCTTCAACTACCTCAATTAATAATATGAATCAATCCGCAACCCCACAGTGGAATTATATGTATGGTAATATGGGCGGAGGCTATTGGTATCCTCAAGCCTACCCCACGGCGCCTGCGCAGATGCAGCAGCCCTATAATTCGATGGGAATGACAGCATATCCTTATGGACAATTTGGATATCAACAGAATTACCGAATGGGATCGCCAATGCCTGGAACTTCATGGCCTTCAGTTGGAGGATCCGGAATGGTACAAGGGAATCAACAACCTCCCAGTATGCAACAACAAAAAATGGTAGCATACAATATGCAACAGTTCCAAAGACAATAACTGATGTCTGTAAATATATGTTTATGTATTTATTTATTAATAATACATAACAACTTTAGTTAATGTGCCTTATAAATGATGTTTTTATAAGCTAGTTTAAAATTATTAACTTTTATCCTGAAATTTTTTTTATATAATTTCTTTTGACCTTTTGGTATCAATGTAAAATCAATTTGTTTTACCTTGTACAACAATGTTTTAACTCCCAGAGTCTAATAATTTTGTATTAAATTTGAAAAATGGTTATTACATTAAATGTTGCAGTTGTAAATTCTTACAATGTTGAATAAATATTTGTTGTTTAATATTTTTTTTACCTCTAAATAATTATTATATAATAGTTTACTTGTAACACTACCATGGTAAGTGAGATATAATAGCATAACTACTTTGAAATTGATAGCAATAGAAATTATAAATATTTAAAAATAATAATAGTATTAATAGTCAACTTAATTAAGGAAAACCTTTTCTGTGTATACTTGACTGTCAAATTTACTTCAGTACAAATTTTTCATAATTTAAGAAATCTGTTATTCCTTTGACTATTTCTGAAATATGAAAATTAGTATTAATTTAACATTTTTTTTAGTTACATCTAAGAAGAAAATGTTTCTTGAAATAATCGAGTACAAATAGACGCACTTAATCAATCTGGAAAAAAAAATGATTAGTCTCAATATTAACGAGAGCAGATCGAGTAGAGATTCGACTTTACAGAACTTGACCATTTTGGAATTCCCCAAAAAAGTTTATACTTCAAGATTATAAATTTAGTATTTTGTCCATAGATTTGTTCATTTCTTTATAGGTTTTATAAAACTTTTTGTCATTTCTGAAGTAATGTAAGACTTTGATGTATATATGACTGCTTACCACTAAATATACTCCTAGACATTGATTTTGGACTGTGTATTTGTAGGACATTGATTAGACCAAACGCAGTGTAAAACAAAGTTCAAACAACTTAAACATCAGAGATGCGAAGCTTAATTCTGAAAAAAGGAATACAAATTTGTATATAATTTAAACTTTACATTATGTCTATTGACAACGGAATATCAACCAATTAATTCAAATTTATTTTAAAATTCATGGGAAGATCTTTTTTATTTTGTTTGATATTACCCTTTACTTCACTATTATGGCATATGAGTTGGAGAAAGGGGGGAGGGGATGTTTTGGAGGTACAACCAAACCTATGCTAATCTGAGTGGGAAGGTCAAGATTCAGTCAGTGTGGGTCTGGCATGAAGTAAAGGATTCGAACTGGCAGTAAGACCAACAATATTGTTATCGCTTCATTTAGTGATGGGTTTTGGCAGCTTTATTTGGTTTAGTGGTCAGTTTTAAACCAGAAGATAAAACAAAAACATCAGATTTTTAAAAATATATTAATTTTGGTTTGTGAAATCAAGTTAATGTAAATTTTTTACCAAAGAAATAATTTGTTGTATTATTAATTTTAAGTTTAAAACAATAAATTTTTGAGTAAAATAAATTGTTGGTTGAAAAAGTTATTATTAGGTATACAAGAATAATACTTATTTGGAATATTTTCTTTAATAATGGTTTAAATGTTAATAGTTCGCTTAAATGTAAGGTAGTATGATTTTCCAGGATCTTATTTAGCATATTTTTCTCTTGTTTCAAAGTGGAACAGATATTTCTTTTTTTGATTAACAATTAAAGATTCATAACTTTACCTTTTAAATATAAAATGATCTTGACTACTCGTATTAAATATTAATACCAATATAAACTACACTAGTCTAAGATAGTAAACAGTGGAAGACACTGGGTTCTTAACCTTGTGGTATTCTTAGTAGACATAGTGATAATTAGTGTGCTTCAACCAGAGATGCTCATCCCATTCCCAAGATATTTTATTGCTATCCTCTTCTTGGAAACAGTGTCAGCAAAAGTGGAATTTAAAAATAATAGATCATATAAAATTACACTTGGTGTGGTCTGTTCCGTTTTTCCCTTGTATCCTGATGGCAACTTGTGCCATAAAACCCCTGGGCACCTGGCTTCAAGAATCTGTTTTATCAATCAGCTAAATAAAATCACAGGTTACAACTGAACCTAACCCTTGATTTTATGTAAAGAGACTTATCTTACCTACCAAGCTACTTTGTTTTTGTATTTATTTGCCAACGTTTAGACTCTTGAGCCATTTTCAAGAACATTATTTCTCTGGTCAAATAAATTTATTCAACCCATGATACTCTACAATATGATGCCTAAACAGAAGTTAAAAAATTTAATGGATAAATAAATGTTTTAGAAAATATTTGTTTAGGTTTAGCTAAGTCAATATTTTATTTTATTTTAACTCAAAAAAATTAAAAGCTTTCCTTTAAACTATAAAAAAAAATATATATATATATATCCAAGCAAATATATTGCTAAAAGAATAGTATATTTTGTATACTTAAATTAACTTATCTTGTTAATGGTGTAAATGCAATCAAATTCAAATTTTAAAAGTTTTAATTACATAAAAATAAAGATATTAAATTTTGCGAACAGCAATAGCAGGTAAGAAATTTCAAACTGAATAATGATATTTTAATATATTTTACTCAGCCAAAACTGTTGTAACTCACATTTTAAAAATATTGTTTCTATAAACTGCATTACAACACCCAATAGAATAGTCTAACTTAGTTATAATAAATTAAATAATTTTAAATTATAGCATGATAATAATGGTCATTTTAATGAAAACAATAATTATAATATTACAACGCAAATCCATGGCTCCCCATCTGAAGTGTATTCCCCACTAGTGCCTGGTCCAACAGCTCTATACTAGAAATACTCTTGAAAAAAAAAATCCTCTTGCATTCCTTCAAGGATTTTTAAATCTGATATTTAGTTTTTAATCGATAATGTCATTAAAATGATGAAAGAATATAAACACACTTCACTGTTAACAAAACATAAAATATATATGTTTGTCAAGATGCTTAATGACTGGAAATAAATTGCAGGTAAATATGTTAAATACCATTTAACATAAATTACAAATGAAAAAAAAGTTTACGAGAAAATTGGGAGGGCCTGTGTGATAATGACATTTCAATAACTTATGCAATTATAAAATCAAATAGTTCTTCATTGGTTTATAGATGGTTGACCGTGATATAATATGAGTAAGAGTTAGTGGGGGATGGGGGTGTGGTGTCAAATAAATACTAAATTTTTAAAATAGCATTTTAATCATTACGCCGACGTTTCGAACCAATTTATGACCTACAAAGCGGGTCAAAACATAGGCTTAACGATTAAAATATTATTTCAATAATTTAGTATTTAATTGACTGCAATCCCCGACCATGTTAGGTACTTTGTTTTATAGTAGTAGGAAAAAAAAGGTTGATTCAAATAACTAAGCATAGATTATAATGGACTAAAAATTGCAAGTAAAATGAGAAATATTCATAAAAAATCTGGGAAAAAAAAGTAAATAATCATAAAATCACATAAACGTCTGAAAGAAAATAATTACTAGAAAGCATTTTTGTATATCACAAGTTTCAAAAACTAGATGTTTAACAATATTGTCCAAGGCCTTTTTTTAAGAGAGATGACATTGATTGTTTCTGAATCACTGGTATCTACCAATGAACTTCAATTTCGAGTCTTAAAGCTTTTTCTTGGTTAATCTCAAAATAGGTAGTCAATAAATCTTGCCCTTATCTCATGATAAAAAAAATATATTAATTGCAGTTTGGAGTAATCACGTGGATGCTTATGTTAAAAAGGCATTAAGAATAATGCCTTAATGTTTTAGAAAACTAAAGTATTATAATAATACTTGGCCTAGAAAAGAATGGATTGACTGTTAAATTTATACTGCATAGAATTATAACCTGGTGAATATAATCGATGTGATAGCATCATGGTATGAGAAGTGGACATGTAAACTTGTTGGGATTGATAATAACTGAAAAAAAAGGTAATTGTCTAAAATGTATATGGGAGGATTTTGTTGACCTTGGTCTTATTTGGGTTTAGATGTGGTTCAGTGGAGAGAGACAGTTGTGGATTCAGTATTTAATTATGGCGTCTTTAGCCCTAAAGCTTTTTTTTGTTCATACACATAATATTAATTACTTGGGCAGAAAAATAAAGAAATTAACTTCTTAACGTTTAAGTGATTCTTGAAGTCCTATCAAAAATACAATATTACTTTTAGAGATAATTTGTTAATATTTTTCCATAAGACATGGTTATATTTAGTAGCTGTAGGTGCATTATAATTTTAAGATTAGAAATATTGTGATTGTTTAAGTATTTAGGTTAGATCACACACAGTAACAAATATTGACCAATGAAGAAAAAGAAAGTTTTCATTTTGGGAATACTTCAGCCCAAAAGCTCTGAAGGGTTAAGCTTTGTGCTTCGTTTAACCTAGCCAAAAACTACATTTATTTTTCAAATAGGAACATATTAGAGTGCTACAAGTGGATTTTTCATTAAATGTTTTCATGTCATTATATTCCTGTGTTTACATTTACTGGATGTATTTGTATTTTTAATACAATTGTAAATATCATGGAAAAAAAAACAAACAGAAATATAAAAAGAAAAAAAAGGTATATTAACTGTTTTATTTAATAAATGATATTCCTCTCTGTAAATCTCCTGGTTACAACCTCCTGACCCCACAGATCCTTCGACAACTTCCACCCAAAGCTACCATATTCCTTACATATACTTATAATTGCATCTTAAGAACTACCCACTTTCCTCTCCTATGGAAACATTCCCCCATCATCCTTTTCCTGAAACCAGGCAAACCTGCCTAGAACACATCATCCTATAGACCAATTAGCCTACTCCCAATCCTATCTTTTTTGAAAAAATTCTATTGAAAAGAATCCTACCCATAATAGAATCCCATAAAATTCCTACCCACCAATTCGGATTTTGTTCCCAACATTCCACTATCCAACAAGGACTTCGAGTTGTCGACCATATATCCTCAGCCCTAGAAAAGAAGCAATACAGTTCGGGTGCATTTTCCGGGTATGGCACGCTGGACTGCTCTTCAAGCTTAAATTCCATCTACCACAATTGTTATATCTAATACTCCGTTCCTACCTCTCTGACCGCTCCTTTCAAGTTTGCTGTGGTACTGAATTCTCCAACTGTCATTTAATTGAGGCGGGAGTTCCGCAGGGCAGCATCTTGGATCC